CTTTATTCTAGTGCTACTTAAAACTACTTGTCGTGTTTTATATTTAAAAAAATACGTGGGACGAGAGCTACAATGTAAACAAGCATTTAATTTTTATATAGATAATAATAGCAGGTTTCAACTCAGTGGGACCCACGACCAAGAGAACATAGTCATCATATATTATGGCAAAGTAGCCTTCGTTTTAATTTTATACAACAATTAATTAAAATGTATTTATTTACTTCAAGTTCATAAATTCATAATATTTATTCCTAACACGATTATACTATTGAAACTGCAATAAAATGTAGGTACCTATACGAATTCTATTTAAATATTAATACACACAAATTTAAACTTCAACCCATAGAATTGACCGAATAGCCTTCACAATTTTCCGTTCATCAATAGACACATAATATATTATATTATAAAGGTTTATATAGGTACTACATTCAACTTCGGGATGACCTTGATACGGTAAGTGTGTATATACGTCATAAACCTATGTCCTATATGACTATATGGATGGACCTATACTGTAACAAAAATAGTTTGTTCACAAAGATATGGATAACATAAAAATTACATCAACAAAACATCCGAAAAAATATTTATTGGTACTTAGAAAAGTTAGAAGAAGTACCTAAATTAATTCGTAGATATTTAAAGTAATATCATTACAAATCGACCAATTTCATTGCCGAAAATATTTTTAATAAGTACAATAAAGTAAGTAAGTTAAACGATAGGTAGGTGTTTTTGATTTATAAGTGTTTATAAAGGTATGATAAGTAGATATAGTTAGTATACCTACAAGTTATAACTTATAAATATTATTGTTTACAGTGGTCGAAATGGCTTAAGATAAGTGGAGGGATGCCTTACAATTCAGATTTAGGCCTATACGAAAAATAAAAGGTTTTCTTATACATAGGTATAAATATAAAAATCATAATAATTATTTCATTTTAAAACACAAGTCTTAGGAGGAATACGTTATTCTAGACAAAATAAGTAGAGAGATGAAAAATGTTAATACAAAAAAGTAGAGGGATGTCATCCCTCCGTATCCTTCCACCACTTCTACCACTAATTGTTTATGGAATAATATACATAGTAAGCAAGTTGTTTTGGAATAAAAGATAACATAAAGGTACAATAATATTTATATTAACAATAATTTCTCGTAAACATACATCATTTGATTTAATTATCGAACAATACAGAGAAATTGAGCGTCAAGTTCAGATAATCAAATATCAATATTATTAAATGATAATTGGTAAATAACAAATATTTTTTGGTTTAAAATGTTGCAATATTTTGGATAATTTATCTGTGAACCATTAAGTTATGGTCTAATTAATAAATATGTCAACATTGAAACGAAGCAAAATTTTTTTTTTTGATTATTTTCTAATTTTGTTTTGTTACAACTTAAAATAGAGTTGTCGCACCTATTAACCTTAAACGGCACGAAGAAACAAAAATACAAGGTAATTTCCTTGTGGAAAAAAGTTTTACCTAACGGGTTTAATTGGATTTCTGATTCAAATACATTAGTTTGATCAAGGATGCTGGTATTTCTGTTGTTTGTTGTCCTTGTATGATAGGTACCTATAATAAATATATATATTTGCACTTAAAGAAGTCTAAATACAAATAATAATTGCCTAGAGACATTGTCATAATGAAAAATTTACATGGGTATTTTGTTTCAATTTTCGGAAGTTCAAACTACTAAGCCTGAGGGAACAAATTACAGGATGCACGTTGTACAATACAATACACATTAAATAAGAAATTAATTGGTACCTATATAATATTAATAATAAGTACAAACGATACAAAATTATATTACCAAATACCTACCTATATAATTTACAATTATTGATAATACCAACCATAAAAAGGTTTGTGCGCGATCTCTCAACTAATTACATAAATAGTAGAGTACGTAAATTTAAAATCAATTATACGTAGATCTACGTTTTACATCTATAGTTAAATTTTCTTTATCAATTGTAATATTATAATATTCAACTCCAAAATTATGTTCAAGGTACATCTTAATAAAGTGTTCGCGGATACAAAATTTACATTTTTGCGAATTTCCCATTCATTTTCGAAGAAATGGCAATAAACGACAAAATAAATTAGAGAAAAAATGTAAACAAGAAACCAGTTTTTAAAATAGAACCTTGACCATTTTCGGTAAGCCAAACTGACCAGGCATTTTATTATATATGGTATATTTTATTTTAAGCCAGATTTAAACCAGAGCTTAGTTATACGTGAGGTTTTACTTTACGTTTATACTATAATAGGTAATTAAACTCAATCTATTTCTAAAAACAGTAGTTCATTTTCATTCAATACTAAAGTTATCATTGATTTTGACACATGAAAACTGGCATAATAAATTATGTAAAAGACCGCGAGTTGTCCTTGAGTAAACATTTTTGATATTTTTTTTTAATCTCAGATCAATGATTTAAGATAGCACACAATTATTAATAATAATATTAGAATGTAGGTACCTATTTTACATAATATTATCTCATATTAAATCCATCTACCTATAATATAATAAATTCAAGTTCTATACTAGATAAATATATTTTATTTTACCAAAATAAATTTAATAGATACCTAGATAAGTACATAATAAAATCTATATTTTAAGATATTGGATAAAAATACTTACCTTTCTATATATTTAGCTTTTCTATTTATGAATAAATACATTACTCATGGCAATTTACAGTTTTACATTTGAATTTAAGTCTTTCTTAAACAAATACTATACAACTCTAACTACCTATATATTTGACAATACCAGGGCCACCACAAGGACAGAGGCAGTAAAAAGAGGAATTGGGATTGGTTTTTCTACTTTTATAATTATAAAACCTTCTGAGAGATACTTGTTAATAATAAATAAGCACTAAGACATCACAAATTATTTAAAATGTTTTTGTTGAATAAATTCTGGAAGATATTAAGTTCATAATAAATCTAGGTAGGTACCTCTGATATAATTAAGGTAGGTGGTAGGTAAGTTATATGAATCTTAAAGTAATAATCTTTTACGAATTAGGTATTACCTACTTTATTTTTATGATTTTCAATGAATAATCTTGAACCAGACCCAGTGTTAAAGAAGAGATTTTTTTCAGGTGCATCAAGATATAACTTTTTTCAGAATTGTGTTATCCACCCCCTAAAATCTAAATATGGTAACCTTTTTTATGTCAATTTTATTTTATTAAAATTAAAAAATTAATTCAACCTGATTAGGTACTTACACAAATACCGATATGTACTTTAACATAACTAGACCTCGACTAGAACCCAAGCTAGAACCTATTCAAAAATCAAAATTAGTGAATAGGATTCTACTAAGGTAGTAATAATTAGAGAAATAATATAATATATATCATAATAATAATATATAATGGTAAAGTATTTTTTTTAATTTTATGTAGATTTATAATATTATAATAATATATCTCTGGATACATCAAATTACAAATTATCCTCAAAATTATCATTATACTAACAATAATTCCAATATTTTGCATTTATGCAACAATTACTGATACCTAACTAATAAACTTTGGTAGTAGTTATGTATCTCTGTAATAAATTCTAATTATTAAAATTATCATCTAGGTAAATTTAAAGTTGTTATCAAAAAGTAAAAATATTGGTAAAAACCTAGATCAATATGTGAAAAAAAAACTATTTTTATGTACCTAGTTAGGTAGGTAGCCATATATTGAGTCTTATCTATAAATGAATTAGGTATTTTAAATGAAGTACCTACTATCTTACCTTGTTTAAAATTGTAATTACAAAAACAAAAAAATCATATTAGGTAAGTATTATGACTTGTGCTTCCCTAGGACTTATAAGTTATCTAAAATAATTAGTTAAGTTATTAACCACTTGGATTGAATGCTGGGTAGGTATCTACCTATAAAAGTTATTTTTTGCCTTTATTAATGGTGTAACTCAAGTGAGAAATTAACTCACGTGTTAATCCAGATTTACCCACCTTAAAATAAAATGGAAAATGATCAACATGTTCCTACAATAATATTAAATAATATTAGAACTGGATCTCATAATTACATAACCTCAATTAAAAATGTGACAACTGTGACAATGATGGTCCAATTGTGTAGCTACCTACTCCAACTTAGAGGAGTAAGTAAGTTGGAAAAGTGCTAACACTTATCAAGTTAAATAGATAGTTTTAGGTAAGTTTTATAGGTAGATATAAGTAATCAACATTTTGGAATACTTAAAAACCATTGAATTACTTTTGAACTAGTTTTAAAAACCAAGTCCTGCACAAAAAAATAATCAAGTTGTATATCTTGGTGATTAAATACTAACTATTCAAATAATTTAATGCGTATGCATTCAAAATAGACAACGCAATCATGAAACCTTGGTGGAAGCAATCAGAACATTGAGACACTTTATAGTAACCACAATCATACTGGTCAGTTGACAGTCGATTGCAGAATAACTTCCCCATTTATCTATTTTAGCGTCAAAATATTTGAATAGCGTTCAGGTAGGTACCTACCTATAATACAGTTTGATGTACTTGATTGATAAAAAATAAAAGCTATAATTACACTAATATTTATACATATCATAATTTTTTCACAAGATAAGGAAGCTAAGAAGATACAATCGGACTATGTAATCTAAATGACAATTAAGACATCTAAGACTCTGGGAACTATGTAGAATGGCTACATTAGTGAAAGATATTGTACCCACACTTGGCAGTTAGAACACAGGCATAGCAGATAGTGTTTGCGGAGACATTGTCAGCCATAGGTACTTGCCTAACATACCTATTTTAATATTATGTATAGTGAGTGTCTGGGTAAGCGTTAACAGGACCAATAGTAGGAACCATCAGGCTGCAGAAACTTGGCTAATATATATAAAAACAATACTGTAATTCATAATAAGGTCAACCCAGCACTCACTTTTGGCTTGTAAAACCATTTCCGGATGGACTCCATTTCCCAGACTGCCGAAGACACGACGAGGGGTCAACTTTTCATCCAACTCTGTCAGATGACCACTGGCGGCTGCGGAGAACTGTTGCCAGACGACATTTCGGACGCGAATCGCGTACGGATCATGGGCGAACGACAAAGTCGAAAAAAGCGACACAACGAGATTTTCGAATCGCGAACTCGGCTCAAACACAGAGACACGGTCTGTCCACCACGACTTCGACGGTGATGTTAATGAGTCGTTCGAGGATTTTTATAATAATTATAGGGGCACGGCTTCGGTATCAACCATTGATGTTGCCGTCTGTCCGTCTCACCGAGTCTCTAGTGAAAAAAAAGGAACGTCGAGGAACGTCGGCGGAAAAACGTTGTAAAGCAATCACAATCTTAACACACGGTACACGACGCGAACGGGCGCGCAGGCCGATACGCTACTGAAGTCGCGCGACACACGGTTGCACGACGAGTGGCGACCGCGATCGTCGTCGCCGTCGTCGATGTCGGGCGGCGGTCAGACTTTGGTTGGGGAGGGCCGCGGGCGCGGAGAGGAAAACGCCGCCCCGAAAAAAAGCACGGTCTCGCGGTCACGTCGCCTGTAGTTGTAGTATCCGTATCTACATTATAGTTAGAAGTCTGACAGTGATGTAGTGTGAGCGGCCGCGATAGTCAACTTGTGGCGATAGTGAACGCGACGACGTTATCATCACCACGAGATTTTCGTTTCTCGGGTTGGCACCACCTGTCGCCGACGTCCGCCAGATGCCGCGAGCTCCGGGCGATGGCGGCGGCTAAATCCATCCGTGATCCGTCCGGATGAACTGCTATTGTTATCGTATATTATTATTATCGAGTATAGGTACCTATTCTTTTGCTATTGTTTTCTAATTTTTGAGCAGTGGCGTAGTTGTACTTAACACGCCATGGGGGGGTTGTTGTTACCTAACTCTAAGTTTTAGATATTGTGATTTATGTTGTAAAATATTATTGATACACCCGCGGATAATATATTAGGTACTAAGTGCCTACCTAGAGTTTTCCAAAATTAAGTACCTCTACGGCTATACCTACTGGCCATTAACCATATATTATTTTATTATATTGAAATTTTTTAAGTTACCTTGTAAAACCCGTAAATTAGACACTTAAATATGTTATCCGTAACCAAAATATTTCTTTTAGCACTAGCACACATTATTTTAATTTGTCGTTTTTGAAGGTTTATTGAAATCTATAATAATATTATGATGGGTTACGTAAGGATAAGTTTACAAAAAAAAAGTATACTGACGATTAAGAGGCGTAGATTTTAGACTTCGCGAGTTTTTTGCTGGTTGTCAGGATAATTTTATAAAAAAAAAAATAGAAAATAATGAGTTTTTACAATTTTAAGTGTAGTGCTTAGGAACCAGTATTTATTATATATTATTCATACATAATCAATGGTACCAGCTATACTAAAAACATTGGACCCCCCCCCCCCTTTAAATTTAATTTCAGTTACGACCTTGAAGTGGAACGTATGTAATAATATATAATAATATGTAGGTATATAAACTATAATATAACAGCTATAGTTCTCTAAAATGTAAATTATAACTAAATAATATGCCTTATTATTACTATACAGTTATACCAGGGTCGCTTCTTCACCCTTTCTGCATTATGGATACCTTTACACAAGACCGTATAGCTAAAAAAATATTTAGGGAGAGGTTTTGAGTATAAATTTGTTAAATTATATAATAAAATATGAAAATCAAGGCCTTAGACAGAAAATTCAAGGGGGGTTGAACCCTGAACCCCCCGGCTACGGCCTTGCGGCTTTACAATATAAAGTATATCCACGAACCCCATCTATAAAAAAAATCATTTTTTTCATTTTTTGATTAATACCTATTTAATATTTTAATGGGCATTTGAAAAATTAAAATTATTACAACTAAACCTACCTAAGTCTCAGAAATTACCTATATAGGTATACTTATAAGAGTACTTAATACTTTTTGACTTTTTTTATGAAATTAAATACGCACACACATCAATAAAATATTAAAATGTACTCTACTGTGTGGACGACCGAGTAATCATATACGGACTTCCCCTCCATCCCCTTAAAGGTTCCATGAACCACCGGTTATAAGAACCCCTTCATTTTATACTATAACGAGTACTTATGTCTTATTGCAATAATATTTAAATATTTAATAGATTCATATTCAGCTAAAAATAATGTAGTATAATATTTCTATACCTAATTCTATATTTTAGCTTTAGTTGTAGGCATAATACCTAACACCCTAAAATAATTAATGCATTACACGTTTGGGATTATAACATTATAACTCATAAAATATATTACGTATTTATACCATTTGAAAAAATATATTATGCCAAATGAAATTTTAGTTTCTTTGGTCCATCCGGTGTGTCTGTACATGCACCTGTACATAATATTATACAATAACAACATTTAAATGCGAATTGACTTCCGGGCAGCTGCAAATAATAATAATAATAATATAATATTAGATATTATAATATAAAGTCGGATTGCAAATGGGTGCTGGCAATGAATGATGATTACTTTATTACTTTCATCAAAATATCGTATTATATTTATACCTGCAGCTATAGGAAATGTACAGATGATTTACAATGTGCATGTAGTAATAAAGCGTATATGTGAAATTGTGAACCCATATATGTATGACACGTACCTATATCACAAAATATATATTATAGTATAATAGATGCAGCGAAGATTTTTTTTTATTATTATTAAAAGAATATTATTTACAACCTGTACTTACCCAACATGCCTACATACTATAATAACATCATATAATACAATGAAATTTGCTGACATTATTTTTTTTTTTTGCATGCAGTGACGATTATTGTTAGGTAGGTATACTATAAAAATTACAGTATAAATGCTATACCTATTATACCTGAATATAAACATAGTCTGTAATAATAGATTTAGGTGTATACCTAATATATATATACAATATACATATTTATACGCATAATATATAACACGTCACATTGGACATAGATTTTTCGTAAGCTCCCAAAGGTACATACATAAACATTTATATATATAAATGTAAACGCATAATTTGTATTGACTGTTATATATCAAATGCATATACCTATAATACTATATTATTGTTAATGACACCGTATACAAATTGTATTCCGAAGGACGTTCGCAACTTTCAGCAATCCCGGCGTCTCACCTTCATATCAATCCACTTCTACGCACGCGGAAATTGTACTTATGATGACAAAACATTATATAATAACGTACCTCTGCCATATATTCATTATATTGTAACATACACGTGTTGTGCAGTCGTCAGTCATAAAGAGTGTATCTGTCTCATATGTCTCATGCAGCTGTTCGATAAATAACATTTCGTTTCCCTAATTAATATAACGTTGGAATTTGAAAAATCATCGGTCTGCGCACAACATGTAATAAAGTACCACTCACGTAATTATAAAGTTAAGCGTTTTTTTTAATTTTTTTTTTTTGTCATGTGATACCTATATTATGATGAGATGAAAAGGAAGGTGCAGCGTTCAGACACCCTAGCTGCGCAGTGTCCCTGTAAAAAGTATAAGTACATACCTACGCATACATGTATATTATGATATTATGCTCTTATATTAAACGGTTTAATAACTTTTAGTTTTCTATTAGTTTAAGAGGATTTATAATTTTAATGATATTACTAGCTTTAAATAAATAAGACCGTCGACCGATAATAGAATACAACACATGTATTGGTGAATATACCTAATATGTATTATTATATTATAAATTTATTATTAAAACATAATTTATAATATTATGTACATTATACATATTATACAGTCATACCTAAGTACCTAATATCTAGTTAGAGATATATTATATTACCCATCAAATGCGATGCATTAATAATACTACCTAAATAGTTCATATATACATATATAATAAATATATACGTACCTATTATTATAGTAGGCACTCTAAGAGGATTATGAAATCAGGCGTGGATGTATATAACATGTAATCTATATGTAGTGTGCCTAAATAGTAAACACCCATATACATCATGCAAAATAAACTATAATGCCACTGATAACCGTATTAGATTTTGATTTCAAATAATTCTCGAGATGAGTGTTTTGCAAAATAGCGGAATATAGGCATATCATATGCAGTGCGATTCGCCAAACGTATATGCTCACGCCGTATACAATAAAATTCTTGTATTCTACCCTATATATTATTGTATTTATTCAAATTCTAATATATTCAAATATTTGAGTTCACTTAAGTCTTAATAATAAGAATCGAATGCCCATATCACTAAGAGTCTAAGACATTAAGTATACTTTTTGATGTATTGCTGTTAAAGTAATTTATTTTACTATTAGACAATACAGTAGATTGAACTAATTTTTGTCCAAAAAATTGCATTTGAAAATGTCATTGTGTGTATTAATACACTATACAACTAACATAATAATATATATTTTAAAAGTTTCGAGTACACACGATTAAATGTTTAAATTACAACACAATAACTAGAATCATTATTCGTCGTTTAAATATCTCATTTTGTCAACATTTGAACTTAAAATGATCATAAAAAAATTGTGTATTTTTGAAATTATTCAACTGGTTATACTATGATATTACCTACGAAGAACATTGTATTAAATTGTCATCCTTTTTTGGTGCCACTTTGCTGTACAGCAAGTAGTTGTCGAGCATGTCGTTGCAGTGGATGTGGTATATTTGAACTTAATGGTAAATCATTGCATACAAAAAATGATTCTGAGCCTAGAGACGTTGTGTCATCATAATGACAGTCTATTTCTAGCATATGTCTATATTTATGTCTAGCATAAACTAATTGTGTAAATAAACAAATTTTCGTTTTCGAAATTAAAAACTCTAAAACCCTCATGTAACAATATATTATTCTATTATTTATTACCCTTTA